CAACTGCCTGAAACATTCGCATCATCGACGCCCATCCCTCTCCATTTGCACCTTCCGGTACCATCACCACTCCTTTACGACGTCTCTCCACATATTGTGCTATCGTCAGATACCTACCTCGACTGTTTCCACAATGCTATACCATAAAAGCTCTCGATGACTCAGAGAACTTGGTAATAAACTCCTCCTGCTTGCTTGCCCCCCTCAATTTATCTATCATATTCAACATCCACATGGCACCAAACCTCCCCATATATATTGTATTCGATGTCGTCGGTCCCCATTCGGTCAACCTAACAATGTCGGATTCATTAATAGACACAAAAAACTCATTTGCTTCCACTCCAAATCGAAGATTAAACTCCTTTGTACCAAACATTTCCGCATGCCGTTGAAATGGTGCGTCTAACAGTAGAACGGGGGGCTGGAATGACCTGGGCAGATCACGCAGGTTCTGTTGTCTACCAGCCACCAGCTCATATGGCGCACACGCCGTCGGGCGTGAGATTCACGCGCTGTCGGAGCGCCTCCCGGAGACGGCGCCGCTTTCGCAGCACTCGGAATAGCCCGTTCTGCCCTCCAGTCAGGCGCGTGAGGTCAGAAAGTCGACGGAAGACTGGGCTGTTGCAGAACTCGAGCGGTGGCGCTAGGGTATGCACCTAGGGCCGCCGCCTGCTCTTGTCTTCCATGGCCGGATCGGCCATGGTTTGGCGGCGTGAGGCCGGTGGTTTGGTCGGAATCTATTGGGCTGGTGAGTGGGTAGGTGGTGGGCTTGGATGTAGATGTGGATATGGAAGGGTGACTCTCCATGCAAGAGTTACGGGGCTTTTGTCAGTTTTATCCATATTTCATATTCCAAAATCATCACAAGTACAAAATTTAGAGATAGCTTCACGGAAAAAAAAATTGCTTTTTAGTTTTTGAGACATACCTAAAATAGCACACTAACAAAGCGAAAATAAGCACCCATAACACTTCAATGTGTATCTGCAAAAGAAAGATAAGTCTCTCTGGCATTAAGGCTTCTGATATAGGATCCGTAGGCTTACAGAGAAATGTACAGTATACTCTATACAATCTACCTTTTGGAGCGTGAACGAGATCGTGACCTTGATCTGTGCTCAGATCTAGCCCTTGAACGAGATCTGTGCTTATCCTCTCTGTCTCTGTCATAATCTCTCTTCCTGCAACCATATTATCATGAAATCAGATCCAAATCACCTCAAACTAAAAAACTCGACAGAAAGCACAGGTTTTAGCAAGATGGACATAGACCGCTCACATGCAACAACAAAGAAGATACAGTGACTAGAACTCAAGAATGGCCCAATTAAGTTTTTCCAGACTTAAAACTACCCAAAATCCAAATCAACATATGACAACAATCATAGGGATTAAAAACATACTCTTGAAATATCAAGCGAAGAATCACATGCCATATTGCAAACCCGTTAAAGAAAGAAAACAAGGACTAC